AGGCCTCTCCGCCCATAACATAAGCTAAAAGATCACTTTAACCTCTCCTACTCTTTTCTCTCGTGCGAGACGAGGGAGAATCGAGAATGCAAAACCAACAAGATATAACGATGGGGCTACATGAGCCTATGCCGAACCCAGAACCTAGTAACGCCCCGCCAAGGCCTCCAACGTACGAGGAGCTCGCAGAAAGCTGGAGCCAACTTGACGCAACGAATAATCAACTCCGACGAGACTTAGACCAGATGGCTACAAGACTTAAAGACGCTGAAAGCGTACGACAAGAACTACACGAGATGAAAACGCTTTTCCTCCGTACGATGCAGGGGCAAGCTACCCCTGACGCACAGACTCCCAATCTCACGCCAAGCGGGGGAAGTCAGCAACCTCCTAGCCGGCCTCCGGCTACGCCTACGCCCGTACAAGAATGTGGAAAGGCCAGACTCCCTAATGTTAAGATCTTCGAGAAAGGCTCACACGAGGAATACACGCAGTGGAAGATGCAGATCCGTACGAAACTATCGGCGGACCACCTGGCTTACCCTACAGAGTTCTACCAAGCTCACTATGTGATCTCCCGTACGGGTGGACTGGCGTTTTCAGCACTGCAGGCTTACATACAAGATTTCACAAGCAGAAATCTATCACCTAGCTTAAGTAAGCTTTGGGAACAGCTGGACGCGTTCTTCGAAGATCCTTCAATTAAGCAAAAAGCTCTACAGTATCTCCGTACGACTAAGCAAGGAAAAGGCGAGTTTCTTCTCCACGTACGAGCTTTCAATCTAAAGTTCAACGAAGCTGGTTTCGGACAAGATGACGACGCGCTGAAAATTGACTACCTTAAGAATTCTCTTAACAGGAAGCTACTACGCTACCAAGCTGGGTACCAGCCTCCTTCAAATGAGACGTACGAAGCCTTTGTGCATCGACTTAGGAACACTTGGGAGAATCTCAAGGTAATTGACCAACTCTCGTCCAACGCACCCTCTTACTCCACTTCTCTCCCTACGTTCTACCCCAGCTGCTGTAGACGAAATGGACTGGACGCCTAATGTAGGTGCCATGCGCCCCCGTACGAGGAACGAGTACTGGGGTACCCAAAGCCAAATTGCTCTACGCAAGGAGGAGGGTAGCTGCCTACGCTGTGGCATCCATGGACATCTCGTACGGCAGTGTAAAGCAACAGTCGCAAAACGCACGCGCAAACCAGAGACCGTGACGAAGGTCCTAGCCGCTACCTTAGAGGACGAGAGCTCGGACGAGGGAAAAGAGGAGCCCTAGTCCAAAAGCGCCGACTAGGGCAGCCAAAACAGGTTAAGCAGGTCGTACGACCTGTCCAAGAGCTACTTCACCAACTAAAGCCTACTCAGCCAATGTCCATAGACGTAATCGTTAATCTNTTGAAAAACGCTACTGCTATGATTGATAATGGGTGCTGCACTTATGCGATAGTATGTGAAAGACTCGTACGAGAACTTGACCTGCCACGCGTACC